AGAATAAGAGTGTGAGATGGAGACTGATAATAGGGGCTGCAATATTGACCTTATGAGGAGCACGAAATGAGGCTATGTTTGAAAGAAAAAAAAAGTGGAAAATGAATGATCTTGTAGTCAGATTTGACAATTCATGTTTTCGTATCTTAATCGTATCGACACAATTAAGACACGAAATATGATAAAACTAAACCCAAACATAATACGAATAATTATTCGTGTCAACATTTAAAATTACGTATATAAATATATTTAGTAACTGTGTAACATAATACAACACGACTAGCACGTTTATTAAATGTATTAAGATTTTTTGTATGACATGATACGATTAATAAACATGATTAAACATAATTTTTTTCTTAATACGATTAACACATTTAGCTCTCTCACAACTTGGACAGTGGAATGTGATGCCAAGATTGTTCAGGTGTCCTTTGCAGCAAAATAGATTCAAGTGGGCTTGTATCACTTCCAATGAAAGGTTGTTCATGTTGGTTCTTATCACAATCATACAGCTTGAAATTTACAACTCCTGTTTTCGGTTTGTTTGAAGTGAGACCTATTGTGAATCTCCTTCTTTTATTAATCAATGCTTTAATACGTCTAAGCAATGTGAATCGGTCGATTGTTGCAAGTTTGCTTATGGTAGCTCCTATGAGTTTTTGTGCTATTTGTCTGAATGCTATGGCTTACATCTGTCCTGAATGATCTTTTAGCTTCAACTGTAAAGAGCATTTAGAAAGAAGATAAAATGCAGAAAAGTGTATATAAAAGTATAAAACCAAAACTGTAGACATATTTTTCATGATCAATATATTTATTTATGAATATATAGTTGTCGAAACGAAGCCTAAACTGTCAACTCGAATGTGAAATTTATGGATGGAAAGGTTGTTAGCATGATATGGTCACTTGTGTGTTCAAGTTATTAGAAAGTTTAAAGCATTCACAGAATTAAATTGACATTTAAATTGTTTTAACTGTCATTACAATAAGGTGAATAGCTTCAACACAAAGCATGGCATTGAAAATTTATAAAATTATGATTAGGTTAATGTACTGACATTGGGATTGGTGTTTTTTCTTCATGATTTGCGCACCAACATTTTCCAACACAGAAGCGCAAGGCAACGCCACATTCATTGCGTGCATTGTAATACCAATCGTTGGAAGTATTAATGCCAATAATAGCAGCTTTCAATTTGAATTTTGTTTGCTAGAACATGAAGGAATTATGAGGATATTTATTAACAAAAAAGTTTGTTCCAGATGCAGTAATTAAATGTTTTTCAACCTAGATTGTGTTTAGGTCAATCCCTATTATCTCCACAATGCTTGATTTTTTGGCTTGCCTATCACCAGCAAGTGATTGGCTGGTGTCTACACCCATGCAAACAATTTCCACAGTAAATGGTTCATTCTCACACCTGCAATTTATATTTTAATTTACTATCTTTTTTTTTTTTTGCATAGAATTGAAAGTATTTTAATGAGTACATAGTACCTTTGTTTGAAAGTTGTAGTTTCTGGAATGTTTAAATCTATATAAACATTGTATCTACAATATAATGAAATCGCAGCTATAATCTTTTAGGTCAATGGTTTTGAAGATCAACAATTTATATTACCTGTTGAAAACGAAAAGTGAGTTGCGTGTTGTAACAAACTTACTCTTGTATTTTTTCACTATGGTTCCAGCCAAGATGAGAATGGGATTTATCATATGATTTAAAAGCTGATCTTTATCTATTTCTTGTGCTTTGTCTACATATAAAACAACTTTCAGCTTGTTCCCACTATTAATAGTAGATATAAATATTAATATTGTTTAATATTTATTGCAGGCAAGCATGAGCAGAAAAAGTTGTATTCATTTTTTATCAAGATCTTCAATGAAAATGTCTCATTTTTTGCATTACGTATTCTGTTGTTCAGTCGAACCTTCTTACTGGTGGTGATGGATTTGAGAGCTCTAATGAAATCTGGTGGTAGAATAAGTAGTTAGTAATATGATATGTAATATTCGTTATTAATTAAATGTAAATTTAAAAACATATTTTGTTTGATGATAATAAAACTAACAAGTAGGTGGATTGGAAATATATGAATGAAAATTATCAGAATGTTGTTGTGATGTTATTTACCTATTAAAATGGCATCATGACAAGCCCTATCGGTAAGTTGTTCAATGGTTGCAAAAGTGTAGTGTGCTAGATAGGGGGTCAGATCGTTTCAATTTGTTCAATCTCAGTATTTCTTGTGAACATTTTCAGCAATTCTAAGGAAATTGCATTGAAACAGTTTTTTCTCTTAACTACTTGAAATTTTTTGATCCAATAGAGTCTATTTTCCTTGAATTTACATTCAAATAGGCATCCATCTCCAGCCCTTATCATATAGTGCATTGCAATTTTCTATATAATGAAAGAGAAATGAGGTTAATATATTAAAAGATAGGAAAATAAAATGTAAGGAATAATAAAATATAATTGGAGTTAATTGTTTATGTTTATTTGGATTTGACCATGTATGATTAGATTTGTAGATACTTTTGGTATGATTGTATATGTAAATTTTGTCTGAGAGACTTTATATAAATTATTTCTAATTTATGTCTTATATACTTTATATATAAAATTTATCTTGAAATTGTGTCAGAAATGTTTAACCAATGTTTTTTGAATATAGAGTTGTGTACTTGTGCATTTGTAACTAAAAAGTCTAGACTGACCAGTGTATTTGGTCGAGATGTGTCAAGGGACTCCCAAACTCTTAACAATTCTGACTTTGATAGAAGTGTGGTTGGGCAAGTCTCGATCACCCATTTTTAACCTGCATGCAATAGTGGAGGATGAAAAATTATCACTGCAGCATGAGAGAAATTTGGGAAAAAATTTGATTCAAAACAGTAGAATGATAATCAATTATTTATAAACAATCGTTGGAACCAAAAGCAAATATAATAGCCAAAACACCCTTAACTTGATAAAACATGTAGCCCCCAGCTATATAGAAATCAAACTGAATAGCCTAGAAAAACATCCATAAAAGGTAGCAGACTCACATTTTAAAATAGTATCATTATAGTTCTTTTGCATCATAACCAAAATAACTCTAGAAAGCTCATAAATATATACAACAGCAACTCAGCCATTTATGCAACCAGCAACACCAAAAAAATAAAGCAAATAACAGCAAAGGCAAACCAACAACAATGCAAGAAACAATGGGAAAGGACAAAGAAGGATAAAACTAAAAGCAACAATGATAAGAACTTAGTTTAAATGTGTACAGTATGCATAATTAAATACTATAAAAGAATATGAAATTAATTTAAATGTGAGTTAGAGTTAATATGGTGCACAAAACATATAATAATATTAGCAAATGTTATGAAACTATATGGTAGATTTAAATACATTGGTGAATGATGTAAAATAGAACATAAAGTATTTGGAAAGGGTAAGATAAAAACATATTTATACTCACATTTAAAAAGAATATAAACTTGTATTTAAGTTATCTATTATCTCCTTGTAAATTATGTTTTTTTGTTTGATTGGTCAATTGTCCATTATCAGTTGTGACTAAGATCTTTAATCCATTTTTAGATTTCACCCTGAAAAGTGCTACATATAATTGTCCATGACTAAAAACAAGTTTTGACAAGTATAAACCAATCTTTTCAAGTGTTTGGTCTTAGCTTTTGTTGATTGTTATACCATAACATAATGTAATTGAAAAGTGTTTTCTATTAAAAACAAAAGGCCATTGACGATGCTTGATTGTCAAAACCATTTATGGTACAAAACTTTATTGTTTGCTTGCGCACCAGATATAATTTCGCCTTCAATGATATTGGGAGCTAAGTTATCAACCTAGCACCATTACATAAGCCTGAATTCTAGTTAATATTCCTAAATAACATTATGACATAACCTATTGTTAAATGTAGTGCATGATCTGTTAAACTGAGAAATTTGAGTATATTTAAAAATTCTATTAGATAAAGTAATTGATAATATGATATTTGGTGTGTTGCTTGTGTAATTGTGTCAATACTATATCATGCATGATCCTTGAACAGGATCTCATTACTTAAAAAGTAAGGAATCACTAATAATAATCAATACAATCAAATATCATTAACCATTTTTTTATTGAATAGCAAATTGTTAGTATTTTATATAAAATAATTTTAAATTTGTCAACGTCTTTTAATTTACCTACTTTTATATTTTTATATGAATGATTTATAAAAGGAAATTATTTTTTATTGTATTAAAATCAAAATTGAAGCGTCTAAACATTTAATTCATGGGTTAGTGTATGATCTTTTATTTAAAAAATAGGCTTTTTATATACTTAAAGAGTAGAGTTTCAATACCCTTTTCCCTAATAAAAATAAAAATCAAAATTGAAAGACATACCTTGATAAATAAAATTGAATTAGACTATCGTCCAAATCAAACTCGAAATTTATGAACTTAAACTCAAACTTGAAATGATCCGAACCTCAAACTCAAACAATCGAAATTCGTGTTTTCTCTTTCTGTGCACAGTAGGTCTTGTTCATCTGGCTTCTTTTTTATTCTCCCGGCAGCGTTCTTTCATTGCTGTAATCAGGTTGCGGTCAGGTGGTGGTGTTATGTTTTAGCGTTAATATTGACCTCATCGCAATCTGTTTTGAGTCTAAGTTGTGTGTTCTTGCGTCTTGTTGCGTCTGGCTTGATCCTGTCTTGCTCAGGCAGCTTTTGTAAAATTACTCTTCCATATATGAAATGCACTGATAATTTTTTAACAAATAAATAAATAAAAGAAATATAGAAAAAAAACAAAACAAAGAAGTTGAAGAATGAAACAAGCCATGAAAATGGTCAAAGATATAGACGTGCAAAATTATTGATCCAATGACATGTGCAACTGTTCCCGTTTCTTGCTCTGCATGTGAAAACGTGATAAGTTGATTTATTGTCCTGCCTTTTTGTTATCGTATTTATACAATCCTTTTGTCATTCCAAAGGCTTGGAGTAGTTTACGGTCGTTTGAGTACTGCTCCTTTATATGTCTTTGGTTCAATCCCTCCAAAGGATTTCAAATCAGAAGAAAGTGTCTATGAATACTTCTCCTTTATCTTTTGGACTTTGACCATTGTTTCGTTAGTGAAGTATGCCTTCATAGTACTGAAAGCTGATGATGATGGAGAGGGTAATGAGCTGAGTCACTTTTTAAACTAAAATGGTAGTGTTGATAGGATCGCAAAATGAATTTACCTTTGAACAATATTTCGTAGGTGGTACTTTTGCTTTGGACTCGTTATTGTGTAGGCATGCAAAAGTTGGCCTGCTCCCCAATGATAAAAAGTGCTAATGACGTTATGCATTATGAGGCGGGAAGTCCTTTCAGGACCAAGGTGGAATCAAGAGCCCGAAGGGCTATTGCGAAGCATAAGTGTAGTCACTACTTGATGCTGTTCTTGGCACTGTTTGGTTCTTGCATGATAATAGGCGATGCAGTGCTTGCTCCAGCTATTTCTGGTTTGACAAACCTGACCAAATTCTCAATTTTTGGGATAGTGCTTTTCTTATGGGTGATCTCATTCAACTTGAACAGTTTGTTCAATTTTATATTTCCCTTTTTTGTTTTCTTTTACCAGTTTTATCAGCTTCATCAGGCCTTCAACGATCATTACCATATATCAAATGTAAGAGCCAGTAGTAAGATCACAAATGCAAAAAGTTCAATCATAATGTGCCAACCATTCATCAATCTTTGGCTAATAACTTGCTGTGCTGTGATTTTTACAGTTTCCTCTTCCCATGAAACAGACGAGTCCATGTCTAAAAAGTTAAAGAAATGTAAGTGCTATGAAACTCAATTTCTTTGCATTGGATATTTCATATAATTTTCTTTGTTTATATATATATATATATATACATATATATATTGTTGTTTCATTCTTTGGTTCTTTTTCCAAATGACATGTTCCTAATTCTGTACACAATCTAAACTTATCCCTTTTTCTGAGGATGAATTTATCAAGATTCCATTTTCAGGATTGCATGTCCATTTTTGGCTTGTAAGAACTATACAGTTTACCTCTAGGTTTTCAACAAAAAATTGATTTATCTGTTGCTGATTTGCCCAATCTCTTGGCCTCTTAATTTGTTTCAGATGTGTCTGTGCCTTGCGCTTGTGCCATATTGGTCTGCCTTTTCACAATGCAACACTATGGGAGCCATAAAATTGGGTTCATATTTGCTCCAATAGTCATTCTATGGCTCTTGCTTATCGGTGGAGTGGGTATATATAACATTGTGCACTGCGATCCAAAAATCATATGTGCAATCTCCCAACATACATGTACAAGTTTGTAAAAAATACTAGCGTGGAGAGTTGGAGGGCATTGGGAAGTGTCATTCTCTGTGTAGCAGGTTATTTAAGCTGAAGTTCAAGTAAATTCCAGTTGATCGCTCATATTCTGATTCCTAATGAGCATAACATGATGGTTTGTGATACTACTAGTTTTCAAACTACATAAGCATTGTACATTTAGCAGGATCAGAGGCAAAGTTTGCTGATCTGGGTCATTTCTCGATGAAATCAATCAAGGCAATTAATCTTGGTGGCATTTTGGCACTGCTATGCATCATGCAAATTTAGATTGACAACATTTTCTTGTCTCTGTTGCAGATGATATTTATCAGCTTGATCTACCCATTTCTTATTTTATGTTATGCGGGTCAAGCAGCATTCATCTCCCATACACTCTCCCCAAAGAACTACTCTGATGTTCCCGAAGATTATAATCATCTTTATAAATCTGTACCTGGTAACTTGTTCACCTGCTTTCTACTTTGTGCTTGTTGGATGCTTTAAATTGACGCTTTCATTGCTAACTAAAGAATGGATGGCATTGCAGAACATGTTCACCATGTCTTCATAATTTTATCTCTACTTGCTTCTGCTACTGGAAGCCAGGCGACCATAACAGCTTGTTTTTCCATTATAAGCCAGTGCCATGCACTTGGTTGTTTCCCCAGAGTCAAAGTTATTCATACATCGAGTAAGATACATGGGCAGGTTTATATTCCAGATGTCAACTGGATACTAATGGTTCTTAGCATTGGTGTTACTATAGGTTTCCATGACACTGTTCGAATTGGAAATGCATCAAGTAACTCTGCTAAACGTCATCCTCTTTCTCTATAACATTCTTGAGATATAAACAGTACTAGGAAAATTGTATAGAGTATGAATGGTTTGTACATATAAAGAATAGTTGAGTGCTAAGAGTAGGAAAAGTGTATTGATTGAAATTTATCCCATATTTGTATCAAGTTTGTGATACTGCGCTATTAGTAAATTAGTAGCACTTCATTGAATAAAAAAAAAAACAAATAATAAATGCTTCGAGGAAGCCTGATGTTTGAATGGTATAGTTCTTTTAGATCTAATAAACATTGGTTTATTTCTTGCAGGTATGGCTTTAGTCTCTGGCATGCTTGTAACAACTTGTCTAATGTCACTTGTGATTGTTCTGTTCTGGGAAAAGAGTTTGCTGATATCTGCTTGCTTTTAATGTTCTTTGGCTCCATTGAGGCCATGTATCTATCATCCAGCATGTTAAATTTTCACAAGGGAGCTTGGTACCTAGTTGTTCTTTTGGTCCTGTCCATGACTGTCATGGTTGCATGGCATTATGGAACAATGAAGAAAAACGAGTTTGACTTAGAAAACAAGCTGTCCATGGAATGGCTTACAAATCTTAGCCCAGGTCTTGGAGTTTCCAGGGTACCTGGAATTGGCTTTATATACACAGACATAGTGACAGGAATCCCAGCTTTTTTCTCCCATTTCATCACAAACCTCCCTGCCTTTTATCAAGTGCTGATTTTTGTGTCCTTCAAGTCTCTACCAGTTCCTTTTGTTTCCCCAGATAGGTGGTATCTTATCGGCAGAGTTGGACCTAGAGAATATAAAATCTACCGATGCATTGTACGGTATGGATATTGTGATCATATCAGGGACACAGACGACTTTGAGGAACAGATCATTGGCTCGATTGGAGAGTTTATTTCATTGGAAGAGCATGATTTTGAGTCCTTGATGTCGCCTGAGGGAAGAATGATTGTTGTTGGAAGACATTTGCCCGAAGAGAGTGCTCTAATGTCCTTACACGATACCTGCCTAAGTATGTGAGGCGCAGGCTCAGCCAATGCAGAACCTCAGATGAATGTGACGAGTCCAGTGCATGATGCAGATAACGAAGGCAAGAGGACAAAGAAGGTTCAGTTTATGCTGCCTACTACTAGTCCAAAAATGCGTGTGCTTGTGAGGGAGGAGCTACAAGAATTAATTGACGCCAGGGAGAGCGGCACTGCATATTTCTTGGGCCAGTCACATTTAGCAGTACGCAATGGCTCAAACTTACTCAAGCAATTCCTCATCATGACCTATGTTTTCTTTGACAAAAATTGTAGAGAGCCCCATGTGGCATTAAACATTCCTCATCCAGCTTTTGTGGAGGTCGGTATGGTCTGCACTATATAATTGTAGAGTCTGATGTCTGTGCATCAAGAGAAAAATAATAGTATAAAATAAACCTACTTGAGCTTATTGCTCATATTTGTATGTGCCAAATAAATGGGGAAAAATAACAAGAATGGTTAATTAACAAAAAAGCTCTTGAATAAATAATTTTTCAACTGATTCTTTGAATTTTCATTATATCTAAAAAAAGCTCTTATGTTTTAATTTGTATATAAAAAAAACTGATATTTTTTTATTATATCCACATAAACTCTTAATCCGTAATAGAAAATTAAGGATGGTCAAATTTAATAGCAATTGGTATTTTATGTTCACATGGTATGTGATACATGACATGATTAAATGATATTTTCTATGAAAGAAAAGTTGCTATGTACCAAGCATCATGACAAAAAGGCGAGGACATGAAACCCCTAACTTTTATAAGAGGATAGTTGGGTGAATCCTTAAGTGAGCTTTTAACATCTATTATGCATGATTTCGTTTATTGGTTATAATCCCTTCCACATATCCTTCTATCCTTTATAGTTGTCACCTTAGTTGATTGTCAATGTTGAAATAAAAAAAAATGGTAGTAATGGTTTCTTTAGTATTGATATAACTTAGAATTATTTTTTCTTAATTTTTGAAGTATGTTTGCTATAATATATGAGAGCCAAAATTTCATTTTAGTCAAACTTTTTCGATTTTGTTCTTGAAACCAAAATTTAAATTTTGATTTTTTTTAAATTTTTATTGAATCCAACTAGGAGGTGTTTGCTTATTTGCATTTACTTAAATGGTATTAAATGTAAATAAGCTTAACAGGCTTTTCTATGCATCTTAGAACCAAGGTATCGAGACTTAACTATGAAGTATCAATACCTTATACTTTGGAAGAATGAAGCCTTGAAACTTTAATTAAAGGTCTCGAGACTTGCTACCCAGAAACATTGGTATCAAGACTTTCACAAGAAGTCTCGAGACTCAGGTAAAATACTGCTCCTAAACAAAATTGGTTTCAAAAGTATCGAGATCTAGGTTCAAAGTATCCATTCATAAGCATTAGACTTCAAAATAATAAAAGGTTAAACTTGTTAATTCACTTTTCTAACTATAAATACATCACATATTTCAAAACCTAATCATTTTTCGTGAATACTCAGCCACTAGCCCATTCTATTAGCTCTCTCAACTCTCTCAACCTTCCTTCAAGCTTCAAATTCATTTTTCTTTAAGAGCAACTTGATTTCCAGCCATTAAACTTGTTTTCCAACATTTTTTTAGGTAAGGGAATGAATTTTCAACATTTAAGTTGCAGGTTTTACTCCAAATTTTTTGTTAAATCTTAAAGTTGTGGTTTTTAACTTCTAATGTTAGGTTCAAGCATTGTCCAATATAGTGGGCTCACCAACGTAATGTTACCCTTAATAAAAATAAGTTTTAGAGACAAGACTATAGTTAAAATATAAACAACAAATTTAAATAAAGATAGAAGAAGTTTGGTTGAAAATTTATAATCAAGGTTTGGTTAGAATACAAGTTATGATGCTAGGAGCAATATCTATACTCGTTTACATGTTGCTAGGAACAATAGAAAAGATTAGTGATTTTGGAAAAACTAAGTACTCATCAAAAGCTGAGAAAAGGTTTGATACACTCCAAAAAGGTGAGTGGATACACCACTTTCAAATTATTTAAATTTGTAAAGCTAAAAACAGGATTTGATGAGTTATTTAGTTGACATGATTTCTATTACTACTTTTAAAGGTGAAAAATATGTTTGTGATTGAACCCATGTTTTGAAAAAGTTTTCAAAATCAAACCGCCACTTCGATAAAATATGCATGAATTGTGTGAAATATGATATGCTACAATGTATGTGATGCTGTTTCCACATAGTATATGAGATAAGAATGAGCACATGATATATACTATGTTGCAATGTACGTGATAAGGATTCGTATACCATACAAGATAAAAATGAGCACATGATGTATGTTATGTTGCAATGTACGTGAAGAGGATTCTACATACCATACGAGATAATAATGAGCACATGATGTGTGCTATGTTACAATGTATGTGATAATGATTCCACATACTGTATGAGATGAGTACGAGTACATGTTTAAGATGTCATATACAGGACATATGCTGAATAAGATTGATGAATTATACAATGACTATGTAATGATTGATAGACTGGAATAATTTGAAAGGTTGCCAAAGTTAATGAAGGTTATACCATTGACAACTACGAGCACCAAGGTAACAAGGGCTATACCATTACTATTTCTTTGTGAAAACGGAAGTGAGGTAGTGATTCCATTCCTAAGTGTGCTACACTTTACTAGGTTAATGAGGGTCATACCATTCGCAAATCCTAGGGCAATGGGGGACATACCATGATTAATATTATGTCTTAAAGGAGATGGACATTTTCATAGTCATTAGCTAGTCCTTAGCTTGTTCGTTGACTTGATTAATTTATAAGTTGCTTAGTTATTTAAATGCATGTTAAGTTAAAGATGCTTAGAATGAGGTTTCTTAGCCAATTATGGACGAAAACTAAGATGTAAGACTGATCTTAAGTTTAGGAGTTATATGAGATTGATAAGAATTGAAAATAGCCCAAATTCTAGGTTTATATGAATGAAGTATCAAGACATAAAGAAGAAGTCTTGATACCTATGAAACAAAATGCCATAAAATCCTTCCACGAAGGAAGTCTTGAAACCCTTAAAGAGGGTATTGAGACCTCACCCATAAGTCTCACTACCTCCCTTATAAGTATTGAGAATTAGGTACAAAGTGAGAAAGTTAGCCCTTTTTGATGTGTTGTAAATTGTCTTGCACTCAAACTTGTTTCCAATGGTTTATTGTGTTTGAAAAGTATTCCAAGACTTGATTTGATTCTATATTCAATGATTTAAAGGTTTTATGTTCAATTCAAATGATTTTTAAGGTATACTTAAAGGCATAATTCATACTCACTTTCAAAGAATTAATGAACAAGCATAAATGCATGATTATTTAAAGGTTATATTTGTACAAAAGCTCTAACCCCTTGATTTGTTCCTTTCCCATATTCATTCATGGAGTTTTTGTAACTCACATATTAGTTTCTCATTTTTTGTTACAGATCAATGATATTTTTCTAGCAACTAGTGTGACAGAAATGTGATCCATTCTTTTTTTAACAAGTGATCTAGCAACCACTTGTAGCCTAAAGGTCGTATCATGTTCTGTTAACAGGTCAATCTTTATTTAAGTATATATTATGAATATTGAACATGTTATGGTGTTGTAGCCTTACATGGCATTGTGCATATTTTATTAAATTATGTTTTCATGGTCAAAGGCCCAGTTAAGCATCGAAGTGTAAATACATGTTTAATGAGATGATTTTAAACTACGTTTTGAAATTATATGATACAAGAATGTGAGCGTTTCCACACGTTATGAGGCAACATTCATGATGATGTGATGGCATCTTTCTACAGTTTATATGATATATCAATGCATGTTTAATGATTATTATGAATGTTCAGTTTATGTATGAATGTAAGAGGCTTGCTTGAGGCTAATAGGCTATATCCGTCTAGGTCCATGTGCCAATCATAGACCCCCCAAAACAAGTCATAACAAATAACTATAGTGAGATAGCCACCATTTTCGTCACCAATCTACCACAACAAATAAACCCTAAATGGCTACACACAATATATGTTTGACATGTCAACAAAGTGGATTTATTCATTTCACGTAAAAAGACAAACAAAATGAAGGTTTTTGTTTCTTGTGTTTCAGCGCCATGACCGATGCTCAAAAAGCCATTAAAACCTTTATGGAATTTGGTTTTTCAACCAAAAGCTCAAAGCTTTCCTCGCTAAACATCATCAAAGGGAAGCTTTCTAGTGTAAGAAAGGTAATCGGATGGCAACTAATCAATAAGCTAAAATAGCAAAAGTCAAACAGAAAGGTCAATTCTATTCCTTATCGCTCTGAACAAAACAATCATGGTGGACAACAACAAAAGGTCTTACCTTTAGGCTCTTATTGATGTTGATGTTACTATAGAGTTTGACAATGACACTCCTCTACCAGCATCGTCAGACATTAAAAGCCATAAACTTTGCAACGACCTAATTGAAAGTGAGAATCGTCCTTGGCTAAAGAAGCATTTGATAGGTGATGGTCGTAATTCCTCAAAGCTAGAAGACATTTGTTGACAAGCTTAAACAAAAGGGTCATGAGAAAGTTAATGTCAGAAGGCTATTAGGGTTCCATTTTTAATTCGCTTTCGATGATGAATCATCATGCTTACATGGGGAAAAGGATAGATGGACATGGCTAGCAAAATGTTCAAACAAAGCAAGCCTTGGAGTCTTAGCTTCAACACTATCTCTTGAAAAGCTTGGCTTTCATGCTTTAGGGTTCTCTTACATGCTTAAATTAGGCAAATTGTCAAAAATATTGTTGACTTATAGGGTGAGCTTGTTGGTATAAGGGAAAAAATGTTGAAGCAGAGGGCTTTTGAGAGAACAACCATATCGGTAACCACTAAGTCCAAGAACAAAATAGAAAACCTAATCCATTTGGCAATCGACAACTACGTTTTCAAGTAAATATTCAAGAAGTCGATCCAAATTGCTTTCTTGAATCACCAAAATGTTTAAATTGGAAAGATTGGTCCATGTTGTCATCTACTGACTTGCTTATTCTTGGTGAACCACATGTCGACAAAAGTGACATGCATGGTGAACTTCCATACCTATTGCAAAAGAAAAGCCCACCATTCCATTGGACAAAGGTGAAAGAATATCTTAGGTTTATGAGCCCATTAATCCTATTTTTGACTTCATAGATTCGGACTCATCAAGAATAGAGGAGCTTACCATATATTTATGAAGTTAGGCCATCCAATGGTCACTCAAGCCTAATGCCCAAGTTAGCATAAGGCTCAAGGCCTACCAAAGCACGCATCAATTTACAAGATCATTGTAAGGCCTAAAGCA